GTGAGAAAACTCCAGGAAAACATGACAAGAGTTTTGTGACCTTAGTTTCTTCAAAACGCTATCTGTTCATGGAATGAATTTCTGAGCTCCTCAGGTTTAGGAGTGAGCTCACTTCAGATTACTCACCACTGCTTGCTGGCGTTATTCAATTAAATGTTTAAACTATCCTTTCTGCGGAATGGTTTGTCTTTGTAGTTGTACATTTAACTCAGGTGATCCTTCTTACCTCCCAGAGTATAGATTATCTGATGCTCTGAATAAAGTTGGCTATTGTATGAGACTTTTGTCCGCCTCATTTATCAGCTCCATTCTCCTAGGTCAGGCTGCCCTGCCTCTAGAGCGGTGACACCACTCTACCTGCAATATAAATTCATTGGGTCTTTGGATCTAATCTAATTTTCGCGTGTGACATTTTTTATTTCTAACATTTTTTAAAGATAAAGTTTAAAATAAATAAAGCTCAAAAAAAAAAGGAATGAGATGTGTTCAACAGCTTTTTCTAGAAAATCAATAAATGTGGTTCTGAAATGCAATTTTATTTTTTATTATCATGTTATTATTTTGTGTCTATGTGCGTGTATGTCTGTGCACCACACGAGCACAGTATCCTCAGAGGTGAGAAGATGGTGTTGGGACTGGAGTGGCAGGTAGCTGTGAGAAGCCATGAGGATACTGTATCAACCTGGGTCCTCTGGAAAGACAAGTGCTCCTAGCTGCTGAGCCATTTTACATTTCCATCATAAAGTAATAATAAGCTAATGAAACAGATCTGGTTGCAAAACAAAACAACTAATGTGGTTTGTCTCACCTACAATGACTCTGGTTATTTAAATGAGATATAAAGTAAGGCCTGGTAACACAGTCCTACACCTCCAGCTACCTGGAAGACTGAAGCAGGAGGATTACAAGTTCAAGGACTGCCTGCTTCAAAATTTTAAAAAGGGCTGGGGATATAGCTCAGTAGGTAGCATGCTTGCTGATCACACTACTGAGACAAAGGAGGAAACTTGGAAGAACTGTGTTTGGGAAAGGCATATTCTTTGAGAACTACTGTATTTAGTTAAAAACCTGAAAGTGTTTTCTTTTTCCTGCATTGAAACTTTTTATTTTTTAAAACTTTTATTAATATAAGTTATTTTTAAAAGGTCTCATCTTTACTACATCTGGGGCTGAGATGAAGAAAGAACAGACTCAGGGATACAAGTACAGAAAGGCTGTGCTCAGGTAGGCTGTGCTCACTCTGATGGTGTAGTACTAACTATAGTAACAACCAAGGACCTCCCCACGGGAAGGGAATTAGCTAGTCTTGCAGGAGGTCTCTGTAGGTACAGTTTTAGGATGTAAAACATTCTACTTGTACATACATCAACATTCACACTCAGACCAGAGGAAGGCTTTGCCAATTCTGAGGCTGACCAGTTTGAGGTCAGTCTCAGAAAAGGAAAAGGCCTTGCCAATTTCCCATGAGTCTGAGGCTTTGGTCCTCGACAGGACTTAAGTCAAACAACATGCGTTCACTTTTACTTACTCACTCCCTGCACATGCTGACATCTTTCACACATCTGCTTTTTGCATTAGATCCTGAAAGCTCCAGGACCTGCACAGCTTGAGTGCTGTAAAAGGGGATTTGGTAACATGACAAGCATTGCAAATAACCTAAAACTTTAGAATCAGGTTTCAATTCTGGTACAAAGTAACTGAAAAGGCTGGGCCCAGCTGACAGCAATATTAAGGTGTGTGTGTTGGGGTCGGGGGAGATAGTAGCTATTGCTATATGCATTTCAGATTTCCCAGACCAGTCTTTGTTTTCTGGGGATAGATTACACACCAAGAGCCGTATGCAGGCTGGGAAAGAACTATCTAACTGAATTATGTCCCTAGCCCTGAATCAGTATCTTATCTATTTATTTATTTAGAGACAGGGACTATCTATGTAGCCCTGGCTGCTAGGGCTTACTACATAGACCAGGCTGGCCTTGAATGCAGAGTTAGGATCTGTCATGTTAAAGGTGAAATAGGCACATGTAGGAAAAAGAAAAACAAACAAACAAAACCAAAACAAAGCCGGCCATGGCTCCAAAGGGCACAGCCAAAACATACACACACAGAGACCTAATTGTCCATACTCAAACTGCAAAAGTTGAAGAAATAGAGAAAGTGAAGAAGCAGGCTCAAGACCCAACAGTCAGTCTGGCGAACACTAAACCCAAAGTTCTTTCTGGTGTGGAGATATAAACACTGTTCTTATACATGGAGCCGAACATTTCTGAAGTGGCAGGCTCTCTTCCAAACACAACTATGACCAGTTTTAAGGTTTGGCTGTAGTTCTTGTTTTTTTCCAAGTCCATGGCCCCACAGATATGATATCAAACCCTGTAAAACAGTGGTTTTTAACCATCCTAATACTGCAACTGTTTAATACAGTTCTCATGTTGTAGGTGACCCCAACCACAAAATTATTTTTGTTGCTACTTCATAACTGTAATCTTGCTACTGTTCTGAGTTGTCATATAAACCCCTGATATGCAGGGTATGTATGCACCCCCAAAGGGGCTGTGACCCACAGGTTGAAGACCATTGCTGTATTTGGCGTCAGGCCTATCCAATGTGGCATCTTACGTCTACAACACTTCCACTCAGCAGGAACAGCCCTCATCTCCAGGGCCCAGACCACTCAGCATACCTCTCCCACTTTTATCTGCTCAGTCTGTTTCTCAGTTACTCTGCAAGGCTTCTACTTACAGATTGGGTGCTGAATGGCCTCAGATATCCCCTCAGCGTACACGGCAGTAAGTTCCTACTGTGCACAGGGCTTGTGCTGACTTCCGGCTCTTGTACATAAGGCTGTCATCACAACAAACACTTGGGCACGAGACTGCCAGAGTGTAGAACTGCCACAATGGAGGCTAAGTGTCTGTACTCCAAAGGTCAGACTCAAGAAAGGGAACCCCTTGGAGGACGAGACTAAGGCTTCACTCAAATGCAGTATCAGGAGTAACAGCACGGTAGGGACTTTTCCTCCTTATCTTCTAGGAATTTTTCACAATTCTAATTCTTCCCATGTCAGGCTATTTCCAAGTAAATTCTCAACACTAAAAGGTTGGGGGGAAATCAGTTTATAGGTTTGTATGTAACTAATGACAGAATATTTGGAAATGCAGTTCCAGCAGTCACTAAGTTTTCACAGAACACCCTGGTGTCATATAATGAAGGAACATTGTTAGCCAGGCTACTTATTATTGGAGGATTACACCTCTGGAGTCCAACTTCTCAACAGACCTACCCAGCATCCTCTTTTCAGGAAGTATTAACTGACTGGGTAGTGGTGGTGCATGCCTTTAAGCCCAGCACTTGGGATGCAGAGGCAGGTGCATCTCTGGTCAACAGAGGGAGTTCCACGACAGCCAGGGCTACACAGAGAAACCCTGTCCTGAGGGGAGAAAAAGTGTTAACTGGCTGAAATGCCCAACATTCTCCCCCTAAACAGACAGAATACAACTGCATGGAATTGCCAGGCTTTTCTATTCCCCTTGACCTTTTGTAGGGAGGAAGAAAGGCAATCCTAGTACCAACTCTCCCTAAAGCAAAGCCTGTCATGATGGATATGTGTGCAGTACACTCAGGTCCTACCCTCTGTGCAGCTCCCCATAACACCAGGTTTGCTCAGCAAGGGCAAGTCTCTTCAAACAAGTAATTAGTTGCATATGCCCTTCCTGCCAACAGGGGGCGCATTTTTTTTTAAAAAGAGAAAAGGTGATCTGGGAGGTTCCTGGTTCCACAGAGAAAGGGCAAGGAGTCAGGGGACACTGGAGTGAACAGCTATGTTTCACCTGTACTGAACATGTGAGGATAAAGTTCTACCTAGAACCACAATTAGAAACACATTAACCACCTTCCTTTTCTTTTTCTGGAGTATGGAGTCTTCGTTAAATATTGGAGGATGCAAAAAAAAAAAAAAAAAAAAAAAAAAAAAAATCAATTTTTGATTGCTCAACAATGGCTAGTTCCAAGAAAACCTTAAAGGATGCCACAATTACTTGCTGTCAGCAATACCAGGCTCACAGTTAGGCCCTAGGAAAAACAGGTGAACAGGAAGCATAATGTCCCTGCCCTGTAAATGGCACACAATACACAAATGAGAAACTGTCAAATGTTGTAAATACACAACAAACTTTACACTAAAACTGGAGAACTGCCAAACATGTTGTGTGTCCCTTTCCTGAGAAAAATGTGATAGACAATTTTTGTAGAAATGCAAATTATTAGTCCTTATATAATTCTTCCAGCTGCAGATGGCAGAATCATCTACCGACATTACGTACAGAAAGCACTCTGAAACTTAGCCCCAGGATGATAATATTGACTAAAAGTTAAATTATAGGAGTGGCACCGTATCTGGGGCAAACAGATACACTACAAAGGGACTGACTCCTCAAGAGATCAATTTAACTTTATGTATCTTCTATCAGCGTATGCGTGTGTGCTTTAGGGAGCGAGCAAAACTATAGAAAAATAACAACGGTTTCGGCGTCGCACCAGTTTTAGCACTGGTTGGTAACGCTTAGCTGAAGGATCTCTCCAGCCTTACCTAACCTTTAAGTGGTAAGCGTTCAGTTAAACGGGATCACGAAGCCACCGGTTCTTCAGGACAGGCACACGCCCTGGTACTGCATGTGTCAATGAAGTTTGCGGACAGGTGTGAGGCGTGACAGTTTAAGAAAAGAACCTAGATGATGGAGGGCCGAAGCAGACACCCCGGAGATCTGAGCCGTGACAGCAAGCCGACGGGGGCCAGTTAGTCTGGTCCTCACTTATCTCCACGGCGTACCGTGCGACGGGACGGCGGGAGATCGACACTCACACCACAGCTCCCGCTCGGCCCGTCCCGGCCTCCGAGCGGCGGTCGCCCCAGCACGAATGAATGACTCCGGAGCCGCAGCGCCGCTCGGCCGGCGGCGGGTCCGCGGACGGCCTGGCCGAACAAAGGCGCGCGGGCTCACCTCGTCACCCCACTTGAGCACGTCCTTGTGCCGGTCCTTGACGGCGTGGTAGATGTGCAGGAACTGGAGGATGCCGTGCCGCCGCACGTGGTCGGCGTGGCGCTGGGTCTCCTCCCAGCTCAGCGGCGAGCCTTGGGACAGCAGCCCCATGGCCGCGTCCTCCTGCCGGCCGCGGCTCCGCCCCGGGGGCTCGCGAGGGCCGCGCGGCGGGCGTCCCGTCCGTTCCCGCTCCGACTCGGACTCGGACCCCGCCGCGCGGGTGGACGGCCCGGGACGGGGGGGTCTCTCGCCGCCGCCCGGTCTCGCGCTCCCACGCCTGCCCCGCGGCCCAGGCCGCCGCGGCAGCGCTCCACTCGGCTCTGCCGGTGTCGTGCACGGGCTTCCTAGTTGCGACCCGAAGCTGCGCGGACACCGAGCATGCCCAGTTCCGCGCCCGCCGCTCCGCGCGCCGCGCTCCGCATTTTATAGGCTGCGGCGGGGGCGGGGAACAGCGCGGCGGGTCGGGGGCGGGTCACGGGGGGCGGGGCCTCGGGAGGGGGCGGGGCCTCGGCCGGTGGGCGTCCGCCGGTGGCCTGGCTACCAGCGAATGAGGACTGAGAGGTCTCCGTCCCAAAATAAAATCCGGGTCATGAGAAAACGATTGTTAGGATTTATCAAAAGCCGACCGGATTCCTTTTTTTGGGGGGGTGTGTGAGAAGGGCCTCATGCTAACAAAACGGTGGGAGACAAAAATGTGTTGCGAAAAAATATCAACTCCGGAGTTAATAAAGTTAGAGTAATACTTTTTCATGTATGTTTACAGCTCTCCATGGCTGGTGCTGAGCTTTGATTGCTGGTCCTTCACATGGATCCGTGTGTCTACAAGGGGTTAGACATATGTGTGTGTCATCATTGGAAGTCCTCTGAATTAACTGTCGATGGGATCTCCGGTTGGCACAGACCTCATTCACTGTGAGAAAGAGATCTTGTGGTGTGTCTCCAAGTGGGCAGTGTGAGAGGTTGTCTTCAGAACTTTCCCCGCCTTCAGAACCTAACATCTAGCCAGCACTGGGCCACTCTATTGCTCAGGAGAGCTTTACCCTGACTGCTAAAGGCTCCAGGACCTGGATTCGGTGGGAATGAAGGAAAGGCGTCCCCACGACCGGCCCCCTTGCTCCTGAGTAATTGTTCGATTAATGTTTTGCAACTGGATAAATATATGCAGTAACTAGATGATCCATTCTTGTACAGCGGGCAGAAAACATTCACTACATCTTTTCTCCTAGACTGTCGTTACATTTTTATTATGTAGTTACTTAGGGACAAGATCTCACTATGTAACCCAACCCGGCCTTGAACTCCAGGCAGCCATCTTGTCCCAGCCTCCTGAGTGCTGGGATTATAGGTATGAACTTCCGCACCTGTCTTAGATTTAATATCTAATGAACACTAACCAATGAATGCGTGATAGGAATATTTTCTCACTGCCTTCATATAGAATGTGTCCATCAAAAAGCTTGGGAGCAGGGGTATGGCTGTGATTTCCACAGTGGGAAGTGAGTAGGTGTACAATTTAGATGAAATGTGAATCTAAGACGGACGATGAAATTTACCCCTAGCACATACTGCAATAATAATAATAATAATAAGCCCATTCTAATTTCCCCCACCCTCTTAACCGCTACGGCCCATCTTACTGTGTCCTCCCCACCAACCGTCTTCCTTGGTCCTTAACTATGTTCTGAGGCTCCCTTCATTCTTGTTTCTTTTCTGAATGCCCGAGATCCACCACCTGACACACGTCTTTGGATTCTGGTTACTCTGTATTGTGCCTGAATGTGTATACACCTTTGCCTATTACACTACGTGTGTTAGATACTGGCTTTCTTTAGAGTAGAGGTGACGTGTGTGTGTGTGTGTGTGTGTGTGTGTGTGTGTGTGTTGGTGGTGGTGGTGGTGGTGGTCTTCTAGGAAATGCTCAATATACACTATTGCTTACTAAGTGTTAGCTTCTCTGGGGGAAAGAGCGGGTATTGGGAGAGGGGGAGAAAAGCTGTTTCACCTACATGTAAAGTTTCCCAAAGAGCATTTGGTTATTCTCAGAATCTCACCTCACATTTTCATACACCTGCATGATTCAGCACACCAGCCACCATCCTCAAGTGGCTATTAAGCATTTGGAATGTCACTGACATGACTTTAATTGTGAATTATTGAGGCCAGCCTGGGCTAGGGCCAGCCACCACCCCGTTAAAATTTCATCTTTCTCTTGGTAACTGGGACACTTTCGCATAAATATGGAACAGGTTAGGAATGTGAATTTTCAACTGTAGATTTTATGAAATCAAAATGCAAATCATGTCTTCTGATGGAAAGTTAGGGACCCGGGAGATACCAGATTTGAAGACTTGCTACAAAAATAAAAACATCTCTTTAAAAAAATTTAGCCAGGAGATGGTGGCACACACTTTTAATCCCAGGACTTAAGAGGCAGAGGCAGGAGGGTCTCTGTGAATTCGAGGACAACCTGGTGTACAGAGTAAGTTCCAGGACAGCCAGGGTTACATAGAGAAACCATGTCATATATATATAACATATTATATGATTTATATATTTGTTTATGCTATACATCATGTTGATGCAATAGATTTAAGATATGTTTGGTTAAAATAAATAGCCTATTGTTTACGTTGTCTCACCAAGATCTCTTCAGTTCTTTAAGGCGGCTACTGAAAAGTCTGATGTGGCGTACTCCCCTTCGTTGAAACAGAGCTGCTGCCTTCGACTTCTGTTTACCTGTAGAAAAGTACTTTCCCCAGCACACCTGCTGTTTTCTCACGGGGAGACCTGTGAAGACCTGTCTCCAGGGAGAATGTCAACTCAGTGTCAGGAGGAAACAGATTTGCATGGTTCAATGACTAGTTCTAGCACAAATTCCGACGCCATACCTAACGTCTTGGCGATTTACTCCTGCAACCGGGATCCACAATCGCTAGGGAGCTGTCTGGGCTCCGAGGTCTCAATTCTGAAAGCTCACTCCCGTGCGAGGGTCTCAGAGCTCCGGACCATAACTTGGACACGGGCACTGTGGCGCCACTGAGGGGATTTGCCAAATTTTAAGCCATGCTCCCTTGCAGTGTCTTCAGCTATGTTTAAAAAGAGACACCACCACGTAGCCACGTCCAGCAAGGGTCTCCCTTCTGCCGGTGCTTGCTTTGCACCTGCAAGTTTCCAAGATTGCGCGGGACAGACTGCCCGCCGGCCGGGTTTCAGCTCGGGAGCGTTATTTTCCAGCGGGCAGAGGGGTGCACGGGAAGGAGATGCTAAGGGCAGAAAGAACTCCCAGCTGGCAGAGCAGCTCTCCCTTCCGCCACCATCACGGGCGCATCCGGGCTCGGCGGCTCCGAGAGGATGCTCTGGGTCTGGCGGGGTACCCGGCCGTGCGCGCGCCCACCGAGCGAGCGCGGCCGCGCGCAGGCCCCGCCCACAGGCGGCGGGAAAACCCGGACGCGGAGCCCGCACGGGCCCCGCAGCGCCAGGGCGTCGCCGCGCGCTCGCCGTTGTTGTGGTAGCGCCGGCCACGTGACCGCCGGCCCGCCTTCCCCGCGGCGCGCCGTGCCGCCTCACCGTGACTCAGCACTCTGAGCGGGCTGGCCGCCCGCAGGGGTCCGCTCCCGGGCACAGGCTGCCGGGGATCCCCGCGGGAGGGCCGTTGTCGCAGCCGCCGCTTCGGATGCGCAAGGCCGGACTGGGCGTCGTTCCTCGGGCGTCACGCGGTGACGTTCCCTCGTCCGGGGAGGGATGCGGAGGCGCAGAGCCTTGGGGACTGAAGGAGGAAAGCTCCCCTGGGTCTGAGCTAGTGCCTGGTGGCCTCAGTTACTCTGTGCTGCACCTGCTCTGCGCCACCCTTGGGTTTCATGGGGAAACCGAGGACAGGTCCTTGTGACCAGGTTTTTCTCAGCGAGGCCACTGAGAACCAGTCATGTGCCACCTACACCCGTGGGGATCAGAACGGTGTGTGACCCTAGTGGGCTTGCTTTCTGCGGCAGCACATAGCAGGCCTTGGTGGGCCCTCATCGGGATTCCAGCTGTGACACCACCTGGCCTTGCACGCCTCCTTTGACGCACACCCTTTCTCTCCAGGGCCCTCAGGTTCACTTAGGGGAGACCTCCAAGTTGTGCCTTAGATTTCTTAGTGGGTGGAAACAGCCAGTTTCAATGTATATGGTAGCAAAGTAACAACCGATGTGGAAGGGAGGTGATGATTTACCCTCCCTTTGAATTACACTTAAGATTTGTTCAGGCCCAAGGAAGTCTCCTGTGATGGAAGAAAGAGGCCAGAGGGACAGGATTTCACAGATTTGCATGATTTTTCTTATACTCTCCGTTCTAGAGATGAATTTTTCCCTTTTATCCTGAACATTCTGTGATGCCAATACTACCGGAAGAGTCGAGGACTTGCAAATATTTTGCACTGTGTAGTATTCGAACTCAGGCTGTAAAGATGTGCTATTATTTTAATGAACACGCAAAGCTCTTGTAATGTCTTCTGTCGTTCAAGACAGGGTTTCAAGTGGCTCAGGCTGGCCTTAGATTCACTGTTTAGCTAAAGACAGCCTTTAACTCCTGATCCTCCTGCCTCTATCTCTCGTGTGCTGACACCACACGCCCTCTTTTTCTAGTTTATTTGGATTTATGAGAAATGTGTTTTCACGTAGCTACAAAGATGAGTGAGTGATGAAGATCCACAGGAAATTGTGAAAGATGTGGGAGCAAGACATGGTGCTTTAAGAAGCAAGTTCTCACTGGACATGGGGATGCAGAACACATCGGTGAGCTCCCATACCCTATAGTATTATTTTCAACCTAACGAGACGCTGGGGAAGAAGATGACAGGTGCCAAGATGGTGGTTTCAGGCAGGAAGGGCCAAATCTGCAGTCCAGTAGACTTACCCTTTCCTATGGAAACATGCTTAAAAAACTTCTTACTATGAAAATTCCCAGCACCATGAAAGCAGGTATAATGGAGAATACGTCCGTTCTCTATTACTGGTGTCACTACACGGCTATTCCTAGGGTCGAAGATAATCCATAGGGAGCCTAGGAGGTGGGAAAGAATGAGTGAGTGGGTTAATCCTCAGACAGAAATGGTTTCCTTCATCCTGAAAATGGGGATTCTGCACATTGCTATCCAGATGCCTTTCATTCCACATTATTAGATTTCTGCATGGCAGAACTTTCCATTTTAAAAATGAAACTCAAGACTTGTGCTGATCGTGCATGACATAAACAAACTGTTTCACAACGACTGTCATGGATGAATGACATTGTTAAGCAGGCACTTAAGGTGTCCAAATTTTAGATTCTGCTCTTCCCATTTCATGCACTTGAACTTGTGAGTAAGGATTTCAAGTTTAAGGTCATCAAGAACCTGCCTCAGAATCCGTGGTG